ATATCTCATTAACAATAGTGTATATCTCATTAACAGTAGTGTATATCTATTAACAGTAGTGTATATCTTTCCATTCGTTCTTCTAACTTAAAAAATATAATTTTTCATTAAATATTTGTAAATGAAGCATTTTCATCAAATTTAACAGAAGTTAGCTAATTACTTCGAATTTTTGTAAGGATTAAAGCTTAGTGCAAATATAAATTAGTTTAAGCAATAATGTTTGTAGATTATTTAAAATTTGTAAACGATTATAAGATTATAAGTTTGGAGATTTATTTTGTATCAAAAAATCTTCATGCAATAACAATGAACTGCTCCAAAAAGTAAAAATGGAAAAATGCAGTGTTTATGATTAAAAATTATAAAGTAAAGATACACTTATTGCATATATTAATGTTAATGCAGATTCTAAATGGTTTTTGTAAGGATCAATTTTTGCAAGGATTAATTGTAAGGATTCAATCAAGCAACTTTATCGGAATAATTTTGCAATGGTTAAAAAATTTGCATACTGCCATGGCTTAAATTGAACTGGACACTGGTTTTTGCTCGGTTGCATTGTGCTCCATTGCCAGGACATTTTTTTATTGGGAAAGTAATTCAAAGGTTGCTGCGCAGACGATCTGAAAATGTACAAAAGTAAAGAAAGTTCTGATTCTAAAATATTAGCATAAAATTTTATGCAAAGAATCATTAATAGAATCATTAATAGCATGAATCAAAAAAATTACTCGCTGGGTTTGACAGAAACTCTCGAGATGGGTTCCATAAATTTTCTCTTCACCATCCAATCGTCATTTAAAAACTTTGATCTGAAAGTTAGAGTTAAACTTTTAACTGCAATCCAAAACATGAATTTCAACTTCCATAAGTCTATTTAATAAAGATTATACACTTTTCAAATATAAATTCTTCTTTAATTCACTACTAAACTGATCAAATTAGAATTAAAAGAAATAATCAAATTAGAATTAGATGCAATTCTAGTAAGTAATTGTCATGTATAAAATTCAAATAACGCTTGATTTGATCCATAAACAAGTGTATGGGCACCAATCAAACTTAAATTATTGGTCTAGATATAAAATTTTAGCGCTAAATACGACTTTTTTCGCGGCTAAAAATTGAAAAAAATCGTTTTGAACTAATAATAAGCTTAATTTGTTTAAAAACCACAAAAACTTACACTTAGCTAATAGTAAAATTAGTGCATAACAAATAATTAGCATATCATTATCATTAATTATAAGCAATATTTTTTTTTTGTATGAACTTTTTTGACTGTATGAACTTTTTTGATTACTCTTTATAGGTTTTTTTTAGCAATAATTTTTTATTTATTTACAAATAATTTCGAATTCCATCAGGTAGCATAACCACGCAGTTTTGGCCTTTTACGAGATGTTTACACGCTTGCATTGCAGCATACATATTCGAACCCGAGCTTCCACCTACGAGTAAACCTTCTTCTCGAATCAAACGTCGAGCCATACTTAAAATACGTCAACTTTTAATTAATTTTTTTTAATATCTAAAGCTTACACAAATAAAACTAAGTAAAAAAGTGGAAGTTTTATAAAAAGCATTGATAAATAATAATTTTAACAAATTATTGCTAAAAATGAACTTGAATGAATCGGCATCTTTAACTTTCACCCATTTATCAATAATATCATTATCGAGAACTGCTGGTGTAAAATGGTAGCCAATTCCTTCAACCTCAAAAAACTCATGCTTATGACCATCTTTTTCTGTTTCACCAAGTATAGAACCTTCTGGATCTGCACCGACGATCTGCAGTGTTACATATTGTGTTACAATCAGCAAATTATAATTCATTGTATTCAAGTTGAAGTTTCACATATGCAAATTACATTTGAAATTTATCTGTTTAGTTGAACAAGCAAGTTAGCTTAGAAGTATGAGGAAAAAGTTATCTAAAGTGACCTCTGCATGTGGGCATTCTTTCTTGACACGGCGGCCAATTCCGCTAATACTTCCACCAGTACCGGTGCCTACTACTACCATATCAACTTTTCCATTTAATGCGTACAAAATTTCTGCTCCTGTACTCTCGTAATGTGCTATGGGATTCGCTGGATTTATGTACTACAAAACAGTGATGGATAAGTTTTACTTAAGATCCATAACTGCTTTTTAAATAGAATTATTACTCTTTAAATTTAAGCAAAACAAATTTCACTAAAAAATTGCAAGTAAATATTTCAAATATTAATCTTTTGTATTCGCCAATAACTTTGCGTAAAAAATTCATTTCCTCATTTGCAACGATATTACTTACAATAACATCAATTACAGTAATGTTACTTACAGTAACATCACGTACATTACAATAATTTTTGTGAGATTAGTAATATTGTTAATTTTGCAGTAATAATTAAATAATTAAAAACAAATATACAATAAGAAATTAGATAAAAAAATTGAAGAATTAGATTGGATTAACTGAAAATTGATATTTTACGAAGCATTTACCTGGTCTAGTACTAATGAAGTATCTTTGTTTTGCTTGCGCATCTGAAATGCCACTCCAAAGTGCGATGAAGGCGAATCATATGGAGCGCTATCTGGTGTTCGAACAATTTCTCCACCTAGCTCCTTGACGATATTCTCCTGAGAACACATAATTTTATACAGTAAATATGCAAATATTCGATTAATTTTTTAACTTTTAAATAAATTTCAAATTAATTTTTTAATTTATAATTCATTTCAAACAATTAATTAATTTTTTAATTTATAATTCATTTCAAACAATTAGTTAATTTTTTAATTTATAATTCATTTCAAACAATTAATTTTCTAATTTACACATTATTTCAAGTTATGACAACTTTTGATATCTTTTTAGATTAATAATTCTTTTTAATTTATAATTCCTTTAAAATGTATTGCATTTGATCAGCTCAAACATAAGTATAAATCTATTTTCGCTATTTTTAATAATAATAACAAATGTTTGTAATTTATTAATGTCAATTCTATCTCTATTGCATTACTGCTAAATTTTGTATGAATTATTTTTTTCGGTGAAAAAAGATGTTAATAATATAACTGTAGAAAACTGTGTATAATTTTACTATCAACTTTGATCTCATAACCGATAGAAATTATGAATTAAAATTAATTCCACATTAGCAATAACTTCAAAAACTAAATATCAAAAATTTTGACCTTTTCCATACTGATTTTATCCGTCATTACAACTATCGACTTGTAACCTTTGACCGCAGCAATCATCGAGAGTCCAATTCCTGTGTTTCCTGATGTTGGTTCGATAAGTGTCATACCAGGCTTCAAAATTCCCGTACGTTCTGCAATGTCAATCATGCGTTCTGCAGAACGATCCTTGACTGAACCACCCGGATTTATGTACTCCATTTTTGCATCTACAATACCAAAAGATCTGACCAAAGAAGGCGTAAAGTTGTTTTACCCAATTTAATTATTGTAGAGTATCATTTATCTTATTAGTACAGTAGCAAAATAGAATTTTAAAATAAAATACTTGCATTATACTTAAGTCTTTTAATGTTGAGTTTCCAGTGATGATAATGATAATCATACTACTAAAATATAACTTCATAGTACTAATAATAATAATTAATAATTAATAATAATAATTAATAATAATAATTATTATTATTATTGAAATAATGATAATTGCATTAGTATAAGAGAAAGCAGCGACAAAAGAGGAAGTCTTACAGACGTTGCATTCAATACCCATTGATTGTGGAATCCGGTTAAGTTTTACCAGTGGAGTACCGCCAATAGCTTCTAGTATATTTTCTATTGCTTTACCATTCGGAAGCCTTTAACAAGTTCTATTCAATTTAATTTTAAATTACAATTTGAATTTCAAAAATTCAAAAAAAAAAAAAACGCCAAATCTATTGCTCTAAGTAGAAAATAATGAAACAATTCGATCTCATGCAATTTCTAGTTGAAAATTAAGTAATAACTAATCAATCATTCTATTTATTATTTGTTGGCTTTAAGAAAGATAATCGATTAGAACAGCACTGAAATATTGCTAATATAATTAATTACAGCAATAGAAATCAATACAGAAGGTAAATATAATAATGTAAATATTAAAACTCAGAAAATGAAGCAAACATTCATTTCCAATCGAAACTTTACACATAATACTAATAATAATTAATAACAATAATGATAATAATAATTGATTATTAATAATGTTAATAATCAATTATTATTATTATTATTAATGATTATTAATAATGAGGATTAATAATTATCATCATAAAGGCAATAATGATAATTATTTGCAACAGCAGATAATATTATAGTATTAAGATTTAATGATGATAATGAAACATAATAAACCAGACATGAATATGATAATTATCACTGATGATGATAAAAGTAATAAAAGTTGCTATGAAATAATAGTTTGAAAGCATTTCAACTTTAAATTTTTTAACCATGATAAAGAGTAAAGTAAAAATAAAAGTAAGCTTAGCTCCCGAAAGTAAAGTAAAAATAAAAGTAACCTTAGCTCCCGAAATCGATGTGGTGCATTAGGTATGCAAGCTTTTTCATACCAGGGCTTTTCTTTTTTAGCTTCCTCATCATAAGGTAAGACATCGTTTACAATAATTTGATCAACAAATTCAGCCATAATAATGCAGTTAGTATTGTTAGCTGCTATTTCAGTAATCTGAAAGCAAACAAGAATGCTTGATTCAAAGTAGCGCCTTTTAAAAATTATATATGTATCTTTTTCTATTAATTAAAAATATCAAATAATATTATAATTCATGATTTTTTATTCTTTTCTGTCCAAAGAAATTACGATAAAGACGGAAAAATTCAACTTGTTATCAACAATCAATAATGATATTATCAACTGATGGCAAAAGATCGCGGTCATTCAACCGAAATAAAATCAATGCTATCAAAATTTTATTTATTTTTTGGATTAATTCTTCGAGTAATAATGTTATCATTTACCAGATCTAAAAGATAAGAAGAAACGAGAATTTCATCGATGTTGCAACTTTATTAAAGTGTTAGTGAAATGAAACTTTTCTCCACACATTTTATATTTATTCCAAAAATTAATTTAAATAATTATTAAAATTCATTCTTTTTTGAATTTCAAAATTATCGCAAAAATTTGAGAAAGCACAAAAACTATACAAATGAAAACTTTAAGCACATAACATCAAACTTGTTAAATCTTAAAGTGAAATAAGTAATCCGTCTGACCAACGCAACTAAAGTTTAATTTTTTGACATCAATTAAAGTTTAATTTTCTTACGAGTTTAATTATAGTCAGTTCATACTTAATCTGACGCAGCATTTTTTAAAAAGCTTTTAATTGAAAGTTTAGATAATATAAAAAATAAATCACTACAAAATAAATTATTCTCAGTGCTTGTTTAAGCTTAGCATTCAGCGAACTTGCATACACCCTGCATTTTGACACCGCGTAAGCACACTACTTTTGAATAATTAAAACCCTTTCCCGAGAAATACAATTATTTCATAGCTAAAGGTTAAACTTTTTAGCATAGATTAAGTACTTAGGCAGTAAATATGGAAATAAGTAAACTATTTTCAAAGGGACACTAATTAATAAGCAGATGTGTAATTCTCTATTATGAAAATTAATTATTGTCCACTTTTATGTGAAACGAAAATTTGCGTTTTATTTAGAAAAAAATTTGAATATAACAACGTTAGTGTACACACATGTCTCTTCTTAATTATTTATCGTCAGAGTAATCTTTGCTAATCTTCCAAGCAATTACTGACCCGTTGCAATCATTGAAACTGTTTTATGAAAGGTCAAGTAGAAGTACCCCAATATTCTAGCAGTACTTCTACTTCCATAAATCATCTTCAGTTATCATCTATATTCGAGTTAAGGAGAGACTTCATTTTCATCTCTTTTCATATAATCTTGGTATGGTTTATATTACTTATTGCTGTTGTCGTTAACTTAAAATTAGCATAAATCCTTACTATTTATGGATGATATAGAACTTTAAGCGTACTTAATACATCACATTCGATCGTAATAAATATTTACTAATGCCTTTACTTAATTGTGAAAAATTATATTTTCTTAAAATCACTTTTTAATTTATTAATGATGAAAACGGATTTGTTCAAAAAGTTGATACATTTTAAAAAATAAATAATAATCATTGCTGTGACTGAATTTTGATCACAAATCATTTAATTTAAACATTCACTATCACCTTTGTTCTCATAATATCAACGTATCGTTCATTAGAATAACAATAAAATGATAGTATAACAATATAACGTCTATCTTAGTTTTCATCAATATTATCAGTCTAATCTAGCGTTGTCTTATTTGCTATTAAAATTAGCTTGAAACTGCAATAGTATCCTCTGGCATTAACACTATCATTCAGTGCATAATATAATGTAAGGCAATAAAATTAAAGGAAAATGCAAGAATATAAATTCTTTTAATGATTAATTTTTCAATAATTAATTGAGTAATTTTTAATCATTAAATGATTATTAAATAATAAACGAATCAAAGTTATTTTTTAAAAATTCATAATTTTATTAAGAATGAAGTCATTGCTATTATTGAATTTTAGACAAAACTTCATTATTAATAGTGGTAATGATGTGTTGATGTTTTGACTTTCCAGTTTTTGCAAAGTGAGAGAAGCAAAAATCAGTACATCTCATTAACAATTATTAACAACAAAGTTAGCAAATCAAATAAACAGCAAAAATTCCCTCCAAAGTAATAAAAGACTCAAGTGCTATCTTTTATGTCAAAATAATTATGATAAAAAAAAGCTTTTTAAAAATAAAAGAAAGATAAGAAAAATAATAAAAATGCCTGTTTACAGTGGCCTATGAAATTTGGTGATAATACAAAAAATACAACGTATTAATAAAGCTTCTTGACAAAGTTCCATAGAACATAAAAATATGAGTAATAAGATATGGAACTGAAATTATTACTTTACTGATAACAGTTATTTTTTTAGTATATGACAGCACAACTGTTATTTCATACTAGTGATGACCACGTTTAAGTAAGGAACACACAGTAACAAAACTCTTCTAAACAAATGGGTTATCATTATTCAAACAAGTAACACAAGGTTAATATATGAGGTTATAATTTAAACATGTAACACAAGATTAGTATATGAGGTTATGATTCAAACAAGTAACACAAGGTTAATATATGAGGTTATGATCCAAACAAGACAAGATTAGTATATGAGGTTATAATTCAAACAAGTAACACAAGATTAGTATATGAGGTCGTGATACAAACAAGTAACACAAGGTTAATATATGAGGTCATGATTCAAACAAGTAATACAAGGTTAATATATGAGGTTATGATTCAAACAAGACAAGATTAGTATATGAGGTTATGATCCAAACAAGACAAGATTAGTATATGAGGTTATAATTCAAACAAGTAACACAAGATTAGTATATGAGGTCGTGATACAAACAAGTAACACAAGGTTAATATATGAGATCATGATTCAAACAAGACAAGATTAGTATATGAGGTTATAATTCAAACAAGTAAGACAAGATTAGTATATGTTATGAGGTTTCTACCTAATTTAAAGTTTGAAATATTTGAGTGATTAGACATATACTCGTGCAAGTAATATACTTTTTACCAAATGACTTTATGTATTCAAATTCATTCAAAATTACATTTGAGATTGCTTTGCACCTATCAATTACAAAACAAGGAAGTTGAAATGAAGAATTTCTAACAACTCACAATTTCAGAATAAGTCTCTTGCTAAGAGGAATCATATAACGATATCAGAATGGATTCTGTTGGTAGTATAACTTGGACAACCCATCTAACAAACAAAACATCAACAGCTTATCACAGCCAAAAATACAAGCATACAAATTTACAAGTGTATCAGGAATTACATTTTCTTTTTATAAGCCATTGCGTCAATTTCTAGTACAGCTATGCATAATTACATGTTGTAATAATGGAAAACTTGAGGCAAATGAAAACAAACCAACTAAAAGCAGACAAAAAATAAAGCTAAATAAAATAAAATTTACTCAGGAAAGGGACAACTGGTTCATCATCAATCTTTTTCTATTTCAAAAGCTCTCAACAAGTCGTCATCTGCCAATTCCATAAACTCCTGCTCATTCTTTATTGTTTTTAACGACAAATTATCAATCTGACCATATGACCTAATCATTTGATTTTCAACTTTTATTTTGTTCTTCGCTTTTGCTTCGCTTATCAGTTCTAATAAAACATTTTCCGAAATTTTATCACTCTTCATCATGTTACCTTCTATCGTTTTATTTGGCATCTTCAGCTCATTTTCTTTACCAATAAACTGATCTACAATAGTCAATATAAGCAGTGAACTGCTGAAGCAGAATAAATGAATGAATTAATGTTCTCAAAATTATCATTCTGAAGTTATTAATTCAATTTCAACCGATATATAAAAAAACAAATAATCCTAATAAAACTGTACTTATTTACTGAATTTTTTTCGTTTTGTTGCGATGGAACAAAACAAAACACAAACAAGTTAGTCAATAAGTACACAAAGCAGATCACAAAAATTTTTAACGAACAAATCCTTAGCAATTAATAGAAATTATTTCTTTATGTAGATGAATAAGACAAAAGTATCAGAAGACAAAGATCCCTTACCTTTAGTGACTAATATGGAATTACGGACAAAAGTTGGCAAAGGGAAGTAATTTGAACTGATCCCTTGACAATCGACATCGAAGCATTTTTGAAAGCAATGTAATCTGTCTAGATCTACAGCCCAGTAAATTCCATTACTTCGATGTTCCCGATTAATATTAAAACAGTAACGACAATGAGCGATCTATAGCATTTAAGTCTTGTAATATCTTTCAGTACGAATGGCATATCATGTTTTGTTCAATTTTTACTGATATTCAAATTATAAAATGACAAATATATTTCATCTGTTCATAAAGCAGAATCAAAATTTTAATGGCGGCTATTTTTCGTTTTCATAGCTTTTACAACATTCAGTTATAGAAATGAATCACACGGAGAGACCGACAACTTACATAATAAATTATATATCGCGAATTTATATATTTATTTACTCTTATTTTCCACTGTCGTATACACGCATTGGCTTTCCATTGCCTATAAAATTTTTGAATGATATTAGTAACAAATCAACACAAACCAGCTGGAAACAGACCTGTTGATCATAATAATATGTTCATCTAATGCTGGGAAAGGGGATGTCGCTCCATAACCCACTGACAAATCTATTTCTTCTCTCGATAAATGTTCTAAAATACTGTTAAAATTTAAAATTCTTCATTAACACTTTAAAACAATAAATATAACACTTAACAATGGATTTTATTCCACAGCTCAGTTTTCAGTTTAAAAACATTTTACCTTGTCCATTTATTGGAAGTAATTTCGGTACTAAATTTTGATTATATGAATATTCTTTCTTTTCATCCACTAAAACTTGCAAAATATTTCCATAATTTCTGTAATTGGCTGGTACCACTAACGAATCCAAAAAAATCTGTTTTTTTGAAATTTCTCGTCTTTGTGCATAAAACTGGCAACGTTTTGACAATACTAAAGGGTTATTTTTTCCCAGTTTTGACGATAAGTAAAGGCGAAAATTGCGATTTCTGCAAATACAGGGCTTTAGATCACTCGCAAGTAAGATCATGAAATAAAAAAATTTTACATCAGTCATCAAATTTTGAAAGCAATACAAAAAATACTTATTTTTTTAAAAGAAATGCGTGTATTTCTTCTATGAAAAATGCGTGAGTTGTTAGAATATTCGATCACTGTAAATATCAGAATTTATAAACAATTCTTAATTTTCATGACTAACACAAATTGTCAATCATTATATCTACGGAAATAAAAATAAAGAGCGTAATATTACTAAGTAACTAGTGCACTTTTTTGCATTAAAAAAAAATGATGCACACTTCTTACTATGACATTGAAAATCCACTTACAACAGTTCTCTACAAAACAAGAAAATCATTCAAAAAAATTACCTATCAATGCTTCAAATATATCAAGTTCCATAATCAATGACTGTTATTAAATAGGACTATTCAAATATTATTTGAGAAATAAACCGTTTTAGTAAATGAAAAATGCTACATTAAGCTGCATTACCCTCAAACTTACGATGAATAGACAGCTTCATCAAAGAGCGTTACCCTTTTAGTACCACTTTCATTCCAAACACATCCATCACCAGATAACATCTTCTGTTTTAAATGTTGAATAAATAGTTTTATCGAAATATTTGATGGAAAAACTTGATTATCACGTATATGAACTATCACATGTTCACTAAATTTAGTAGGCGTTGAAGCATCAAGTACGACCATTTCCTGTAAAATACTAATATTATAAGAGTCATTTCTCATTAAATCTCTAAAGTATCAAACATCAGAAATCAATTTTTTATTAATTCCAGCAATAAAGTTTATTTTTCCATGAAAATAACATGATGAACCTTTTCTGGATTGAAATTAATTTGAAACATTTCCATGAAAACTTCAGTGACAGAGTTATTAAATGTATCAATTAGTTCCTTCTCTTTAGCTTCTGGATTGGTTTCTCGATAAAATTCTAAATCAAAGTAAAGACGAGCTGGACAATTTTGAGGAATCAGTTCGTAAAACGAAGCACAGGACTGCTTTTTATACCAGTGCCAGAATCGTTCTACTGTGGATACAAGAAAATGCCTTTTCCCTGTAATCAAGCAACTAAATGAAACAGTCAAAAAATGAGATGAAAATTAAATTCTATGGTAAGATATCCATTTTAAATGTAACCGCTAATTTCAAAGCAATAGAAATACAATATTTTTTATCAGGCCAAGTAATCTATGAATATGAAGCAAGACAAAATTCTATTTTCCCAACACTGACTTATTTGAAATAAAGCTACAGAAGTTTAAGATTTTGTGGAAAACAGCATATGAAACTATTAACAATACTTGAGATGCAAAATCAGTGAACCTGGATGGTAAATTGAATGCTCGAATGCAAAAACTCGTGAAAGTGGACCTTCCTGCTTACATTTTTGCAAAGCTTCGTTTTGTCTCTTGTAAATCACAAAACATCCTAAAGATTCTTCAAAAAGACTTCGCTCCAGTTTAACCTTTTTCTAAAAGATTGCATAAATACAATTTCATCACTTTTATATAATAGAACCGCAAATTGTAGCTCTTAATAAACACGCGTTACACAAATCTATAAAATATCACCATCACCTCTCATAATAACAGTAGAAAACAGAATATATGTATTAATGAATGATGAGTGCAAAATATACGATTTTATGATCACTCTAAGTACATGAATCACCGAAAATTTTGGAAAAGCAATTATCAACCCATACCTTATTTAGTGCATTTTTTGTCGATTTCTGTACTTGATTACTTCGATTCTGCTGTCCATAAAACCAATCTTCACTCCCACCAAGCAAGTTCAATTCTGTTTTTATACACGCTTCCATCCTGTGACCATAGTACATAATATAAACACATTATAAACTACGGCTCGTTAACTTGAATTGCACATATGTGGTATATATCATAATAGCATTACTATATAAAATGAAATCTCCAACTAAAAATACCACTTCTAACCCTATCGTTTCACTACAAATTAAACTTTCTAACCACTGTATTTCGAATATGCCTTCTTAGTTACCAAGCATTGTCCTGAAGAAATCCCATGAAGTTTACAAATCGAACCTATGTATGAATAAAAGAAGCTGCACCTTAATTTGGTTTCTATAATTACTAAAATGAAATAAGGCAAGAACGACAGAAAATCACAAAAGGAAAAAAAACGATATGATAATTAACGTTCGACGGAGAAAATTGTTTAAGATATATGACATTTACTAAGAGCGTTCAAAAAGACTTGTATGATTTAATTATTCAAAATTTATTGGAAGTATACTGCTAAATTATTCAAAAAATTCAAGGATAATTTCAAAACAAATTTAAACACATTCATAAACGTTTTAAATAATGAATGCTTGTAAGACAGTAATAAATTATTCTAGGACTCGTAAACATTTAAATATATACATGAAATAAACATAGAATCTGCATGCCATAGTACTTAAAGCAGAGCATCATTTTTCACTTCACAGTTTTACATATTATACTACTTGACAACTATCTCAACTTATTACCGAACTTTTTTCTGAAAATTCCCGGTTGATCTTATATTTTTCACTGGTGTGCGGGAAAGTCATATCTAGCTAAAAAGACCTGTTTTAATCAATACAAAGGTAGTATTCAAAGTGGAATACGATTTGCAGCAACCTGAACAAGTTGACAAAGTAATTATTAAGTCATTTCAAATAGTTCATTAATGCAGCAAATTTTCTAACCATCAGCAAACTTAATACAAAATTTAAGGAAGAAGTTCTCCTATGCCATCACGATCACGATTTATATAGTCTGCGTTCGTTACATCCGGTATTTTCTGCTTCATTTTCTCCCACATTTCTTGTTCCTCGCATTTTTCGAACAAATTTGGAAATTTAAATTCGAAACCTTTTTTCTGAACAAAACAATAATAAAACATTATTAGAGGAAGAAATAAGCAAGAAATAATTTAAAAAACTAAAACTTTAAATAAAATCATAACTATTAATATATTAAAAATTGTTCAATTGACATCAAATATTAGTGTCACAATAATAAATAGCCTTAATGGATAAGGCATTAATTATCAAATAGATAAACTCAAAAAGACTACCATAAAGACGTATGCATATTTTCTTTCATCTTCTTTCCACAATGCTCTTCTTTTCTCTTTGTCAAGCGGAAAATCATAAGTAACTTCACCAGCTTTCACCTAAATTCAACGATTACTATCAGAACAATCATAGAAGTACCATATATGAAAAAAAGAGGCTCCAAAAACGAAAACCACATATGGTTAAGTAAAAGCTATTTGCGAAAGAAAAGTTTACTAAGAGAAAAACAATAAATTCCAGTAATTGAATCAAAAATTACCAAAGTCCGAACTTCCCGAACTGGAAGGCAATATATCTTCTCCAAATATTCTCTTATGTCGTGTTTTGTCATCCTTAAACAACCTTAAGCATTATAAATCCACGTGCAACCTTCTACAATAACAGTAGTGCATATTGGGAAGAGACACATAACCCAACCTTTTGTCAACTTCAAACTTGACGACATGTTTTGGTATACGGACCGGATATGGATCTACTACTTTCATCCAGAAATCCGGCAAAAATATTCGCAACTTAGGATTCCCAGGTTGCCATAAACGATAGATTCTTGTTGACATAGAACTCACTGAAAATTATCTCAGTGGTAATGCTCAAAATAAGATTTTTCACATACACGACTTCTAACCGTCCATATCATATCAATATGACCATAAAACTAGCCAGCAAGAGATGTGAAAAAAACTAGCAAAATATTCGCAATTTAGGATTGCCGGGTTGAAAATTTCGTTTAAAGACGAAATAATCAAAGCTGAAGTCCAAATATTTTTAGTGAATCGAAACGAAAGCTTCAATTAACAAATTTATTTAACAAAAAATGTTGCCAAATAATAACAAGCTGTAACCACTAACGACTTTTCTAATCATATCTGTTGAATCAAAGACCAATTTTTCAAAGCTGAGATAAAAGCTACTGTAACTAGAGATTAAAAGTACAAAACAAAAAATTTGAACAACCAATCTAGGTGCACGTACTTCTTGAAAATCAAAACCATTATGAAATTAGGATTTCTAAAAAATCATAAGCATAAACATGAATTTGAAACAAGATGTTACTTGATTAACCAAAATGTCCATTATCCTTGGTCACCTTGACTACAAAATGATGCGAGCAAGCACACATGTTCATATAACTTTTATATAATAAATGATGCAATCCAAATTATTGTTTATCTACATAATTCATCCATTTATTAGAATACAAAAAGATCCCAATGAAGACCACATTTTCATTCCACTGGAGTTTCGTCATAAATGTATTTTATGAAAAAATAATCCAGAATTCCTTTAAAAATATCAATACGATTGACAATCGACAGTATGATACCAAATGAACAAAAGTGTTAATATTACATCGCATGAAAACCCGTGTAATAACTATACAAAGAAACCTTCATTAGAATTGTATAATTATACAATTACTAATTTTCGGTTCTTTAATATCAAGAAAAAACAAAGGGCACAAATGTATCAAAATAATTAGAAACAGAACAAAAAAATTATAAATAATGTTTCCTTCTTTGCAACACTGCATTTACCTTCCTAATTTCATGAACTTCGTAAGCAAAAAACAAAACAATACAAGCAAAGAAAGATTGTCCAGCTGTAAAACCTAGTTATCCTATGGATTTACAACTCATAACTCGACGTGCAGATCCTCCAATTTCTCTTCAGACTTCTCTACTTCTTTGTCATGCCTCATTAGTTTTCCAGATAGCAGTGTTTTAATTTCAGCATCGTAATCTTTCCATTCAGGAATTATTCGCATGGCTGAATCCAGTTTTGGTTCTTTCGTTTGTGGGTTGTTGCACTACAATAGAAAAAAATGCAGGACTACACCTGAATAGGTTCTATAATAAATTTCATATTTTCAGAAAACTCAAACGACTATGGAAAAGCTATTTCTTTAACTCATTTAAAAAAATAACATACTTAATCCTTTTTGTTTAAAAAAAAAGAAACGGAAATGATTGCAGCACTCATAAACAGCAGAGAGCAAATCAAGCTGACCAAGAATTTCACAGAATTAAAAATTAAAAATTGGCAACAAACTAAATCAATAGTCTTTGCTTTCGCTTTTGAAGCATCATCACACCACGTTTCACACCACAACCATTCCTGCGGTAACGACTTAATGCGCACTTGATGAATCATATTGTTCGGTAAATCCTATAACGGTAGTGCTGAAGAATTTCAAAAAATTAAAGATTCATGCCAAAATAAAAAAAAAGAACTCCCAAAATTATACTTGATCAAGATTTGAAAGACTATTTGGATCTGCACTAAGTCCTTGATACTGCCCCCGCAATCGATCACCAGCAGCTACTTGCCGAAATTTCACTAAATCAATTACGTAAAGAGCACTGAAAATAAGATAACATTTATTAATTTCGATCTTTATTCGTGAAGTTTAACATGACACTGGCATAACCATACCTGATGTGATATTTTCTACCAGCAAGATGATTAGCCCAGTAACCTTTCTTCCAGAACCTGAATCCATCCATCGATGTCCTGCTATCACAGAATGGAGTGAAACCATATGGAGCGCCACCCAAATCTAATTCCATTAAATCCATTAAATCTGTTCGGACAATCTGATCGGCATCAACAAAAATGATCTTTCGCACATTTAAAGGAAATAGTACATCCAAAAAGAGAATTTTGTATCTGCAAAAAATGCGCATCCCAAATGCATAAACTGAATTCCTAATTAATTATGATTTTAGAACAAATTACACTGCAAGATTACATTGCGCAATCGAATAAAAGAAATTATAAGTTTTTTTGTATTTCGTTACTTTTACATACCCCCACATGACTCGCTGCTTCTCAGTTTGCTGATGCAACCACCTTGGCCAACGATACTCAACAAATTCATACTGGAATCCATAATGCATAGCCAGCTGAGATAATGTTCCCTAGAATTTTATATGCTTTTAATACACTAGTTTAATGAGAAAGTGTATGCAAACATATCATAAAAGAGAATGAAAAATAATGTTGAAAAAAATTTTTAAAGATCAAGAAATATTGGAATACAACCTTGAAATTGGGTGACAAATAGTTTTTCAGGAGCCAGAATTTGACTGGATGTTTTGTGTGTTTCATAACACTTAAAATCATTATCCGCAAAAAACGCTCATACAAATGTCCCGATGCCAATGAGAAAATATTAATCGAATCGTATTTCGCAGCACTACTAACGGTTCTATAAATTTACATTTTAAAACAAAAAGGTTTTAAAAGCTACCAAATATGAAAGCAAATTTCTGACACAAACAATGCCAATTTTCACTAATCGAGTTCATTTTGAGAACTATAGTCAAATCATGTAGGACTTTGCATTTTTTCATTCCGTGCTGAGAAACTAAAAAAAACATAAGTTATCTACATCGAACCTAGATGCAACATACGTCGATATGCTACTCCAAATTGATTGTTCATCACCACTGTCCTCTTCTTCCAACTTGCCTTCCACCAATAAATTTTCTTCTTCTTTGCCCTCCTTTTTGGCAACTCGAATACGTATTGTCCGGCCACTGAATGAATCGATCAACACATTTATCCCAAACTCATCTTCAGATTCGGTATTTAAATGGCTATAAAATACAAGCTTTTCAATTTTATCAAAAAAATATTTTGCTCCTAAAAGTTTATTTATATACTACTAATTTCAAAAGATAAACAATTTAAGCTATTCAGTGACTGTAAGTGCCCATTTGGTTAATATGGTATTTTGTGATTGGTGGATATTAGAAGTTACAATATATATAATAAATAATGGAAACTTAGTGCACAGTAGATTGGGTTAAACTCGTATTGGTATTATCTTAACTTTAGAGATAATGCCATTCTTTATGAGCTAAGAAATTTTTGCTCATCTGATATGAAAGTACCTTTTTCATCAACTGTTTCATGAAACAACAAATAATGAGACAAACAATCTGTTAAAATTCACTCCAAGATCGTTTCAAAATAGTTCTCATTCACAGCTCTCTTTTTATATACATTTAACTATTCTACCGAAAATAGGTCCCTGTTCTAAATGGAAATTACTCTCTTATTGGCACAAAAGATTTCCAAACAATCACTATGGAAAAAAAACAATAAAACTTAAAATATCGCCATAATTATCAAAATTTATCATCAATAATGCTACCTCACAATACTGTAAATATCCTTCGACTTTCCGTCACGAAGTTTCAAAATCCAGGCACCTGGATCTGCTTTTAGCTGGAAGTAACCCTAAAAGAAAATCTTGACTGCAAAAAAAGTAGCATTAACAATGGCTGAACATGAAGTAAATTAGCAGTGAATTTCTAACTAATAGTGCACTAGTTAATGTGCAAAACATTTCCAAACATTCATGTTTGGTGCAAACTGAATAATACATTTAATATTCAAACATTTTTATTTCAAAGTACTTCTTACTTGACCAAATAAAGTCCATATTAAATTTATTGATAGGCATGAAATTCAAATTATGAGCTAAAGAATTTAATCCATTACACGACACGTATTTGCATACCAGATTAGCCATAACAATCGTATCGTAACGATTAGGTTCGATTAATGTACCTAAAGTGAACTGTAAACCTCGTGGTGATGATCCCGTCACGTCATCAAAGCAGTGACCTTCTAGAAGAATATGCTCCAGCTCAAATTTAGCTACAACATTTCCCGCTACCTGAAATATTGTCCTATTTTTTATAATAGATATGCCTTGAAAGAAATTAAAGTGATCTGAAATTTAGATACAAATTATGCATTTTAAGATTTCATTAATGATTTAATATAGCTGGTGTCTTGCTACCATTAAGGAAAAATGAACCAATTATAAGCTACAACGATACGACTGAAAAATACATTTTCTAATTTAATGTTGTCTAGATCATGAACTGCATATACTGACTGCACCATCCAAGCATCTGGTGGGACCAACGAAAGAGTCAGCAATTGTTTGCTTGGTAGAGTTGTAAATCGCGCTTCATATGCAGCACTGTCAATACGTCCAGAGTCATCAAAAATCACTGCAGGTTGTAGCACAAGACGATAAAATCTGAAAGTATACATTCATGATCATTTATTTTAACTTTTTTTCAAATGATCTAAAGCAACTACTAAATTACAGGATACCAGCAAACCGCTATTACTTACTGATTCATAGTCAAATATTCTTACAGACTTCCAAAATTATGCATCCTCATTTCGTATCAAATGATGGTACAAAATTTTGGAAACAAAATATGTGACAAAATTATGAGATGACTTGGCCTTTGTTAAGCTTAAAAAATTGGAAAATGTTCATAACTCGTTAAATGAGATGTGTAATTACATCTAAACACACCAATACCAGAACAAGATTTGAGAGTTTAATATGATTTGCCATAATACAATATTTGTAGGCTTAATCAATATTACTATGACTAAAACACTAAATTAATTGGATCGAAAGTTTAAGAACTTACTTCCTAAAGTAGTTTGATTTAGATGGTAGTAGTAGTAACAGTGTATAGAAAAAAGTAAACATTCAACTTCTAATGGTGCTCGCAACATTTAAATACTTACCTCTTTAATGGAAGCTCACTAAGTTTAGCTTTTGGATTCATAACCAGCTTCACTTCAACATTGACCACTTTTTGTATGACACTTAGCAAATGGCCAAGACGCTGGGCTTGAGTAGATAATGGATCAACAATGCAATATGCCGTAATTAACCCTGTATCGCTGTTCCCAGCAATTGTTACGACGCTAAAAATTTACTTTCATATAAAAGATAAAAACAGGATTTTGAAATTTCATGATAAATCAGCAATTTAGAATTACTCTGCCTCTTACGTTACAAAGCAAATTTTTCACATAGCCAGCTATATATTAACTAATTAGTGCCCCATCAGCTAAAAGTACCAAAATATAAAAATAAAGTAAAGTCCCTCTCTTCCTCCTTCGGAAGAGGTATTAATCGCCGTTTTTTTGCAACACCAATACTTCCAATCAAAGCCATACTACGTGCTACCATATTTGATGATTCTTCGTGTCTGATACTTACTTTCCATTTCTTTATATGCTCTCCAATAATCTTGAAATTAAAACTTACTGTTTCAAAAGATATTGTTTAAGGAGCAAATGAAGGATTTTAACGTTTGAACGGTGAATAATCATAACCAACACTTCCAATAAAAAGTATTTGAGTTTAATGAATACGAAACCTTTGCTCCTCGAAGCATAATTAATTTATCGATGAGCTCGATATCGCCGACATCCAAAACTTCACCTTCGTTAAGAGGTCCAATAAGCAAGCCATTGACTACCAGCGCTAATTGCCCTGGTTTCAAATTCAGAACACGCTTTGAGTATTTAGCTCCAGCGATTACTTCATCACTATTAATTTGCTTTGATTCCTTATGAAAGGCAGTCATATTCATATTCTGAAAATTAACCAAACGGAAAAAGGAAAGAATCCTTATTATATTGTGAAAATTTTTTTTCGAGAAAATGACTTCATATTCTTGTAGAACATGCTGCAAAAATACATAAAATCTTATGTTGGAGTCAAAATTTATCGTTCTGAATAAATTCAGAAAAGTAAACTTATTCTAATCGAAGTTTCAAAAATCCTATGCAACATATTAAAAACTGGAAAAAATGGATAATTTTACCTCGTGGTTAGTAATTTGGTTAGCTTGATTACCGTGATTACTAATAAGTTTAGCTTTAATTACGTTGGACAAAACTTACACTAACTGACAGGTCATCTAATATAATTTCTTTCGCTAATAGCTTTGATACTAATTCCTCTTTTACTAATTTTGTTACAAATGACTTCATTTGCTTCGGTAAAAGAACACGAGATGCAATATTTACAAGCATCGTTACGCTGCTTTGTGCAGTTGCCTCTTCAATCTGCAAATTGTAATCGAGTTTTTCTACGTTGTATTTTCATAAATAATTATGAATTTTTTTCAAAACTTTTCGAATAACTTCAATCTGGATTCCAAAGCTCTCAATTTCCGAACGTACATTTAACATGTTACTTTTGACGTGATAATTTTGAAAAATTAATCTGAATAATAGTTTATAAAGTAGGAAACTCACATTTTTAGGATTATTTAGAATAGCAACACGCATAGAATGAGAGTGCTTAAGATAATTTATTGCAGTGTAAGCCAGAAGTCGTCCTTCAACAGTTTCTAGATCAGTTACCACCCACACTGTCGAGAAGACAGTTTTGTCTTCTTCTAAAATGATCACAACTCAATTTTTAGCGAAGCGAAAAACTAGTCAACATTGATTATATTCATGAAATGATCAGCTTATCGATATTATTGTAATTATTTCGATCTTAGAATGTCAATAATAAAACACATTCAAAAGTATTCAAAGGTCACTTACAAAAAACGAAACAGCTCCATATTATATATTTTAAGGCTATAAACTTGCTCACGTGTTTTGGTAATATATCGCATTCTTTCTAGCATACACTGACTATGGTCAGCTGCAGGCAATTTGTGATACTGCGTCACAGGAGTATTTTGACATTTTATAACAGATGCTAAATCTAAATAAAATGCATCCGACGACGAAAATAAATCCAAAATGCGCTTGTTTATTCGTGGCACTACTTCAGGCTGCAATATTCAGTTCCAAAAATTAGACCCAGAATTAAAATGTCAATGAAGTTAAAAAATAAAGGAATGTGAATAACCAATGTTTCAATGTTACAATGTCCATGAACTAATTCGTTTACTCATAATATCTAAAAATTGTAATTGTACATAATTATTTGACTTTACTGGCAGATAAAAAATTATATATAAATACACTTTTTAAAAGAAAAGTACAATAATAGAATCTTGAACAAGACAACATCAATAGTCACCTGATTAAGTATCCAATTCATAACATTATCTTCGTCTCTCAATTTTTTTGTCATTATCGCTTTCTGCAAACGCGACGAAGCCCGCATTATTTCCATTGTAACAATTTCTTCAAAATGACTCGATGTTACCTAAAAAAGAACTTGCAAAGAACGAGACTTAAACGAATTAGAAGTACTGAACTAAAAATGCACGGCACTTTTTAAAAAACACATTTGTACTACAAAGCATGTGAAGCTTTGGATATATTACACGATCTTAGAAATTTGATTCACAAAACACTAGAGCACTGATGGTAAAACTGAATGAAGTAAACGACAATCCATATCACAAGCTTTTTATATCCAACAATAATTGATTCTTACACCAGAATCATCGAGAACGACTCCATTTAGAAGAACTTTAGGCACCGAATCAAGTCCACTACGGCGGAAAAATTTATGACCAGTTGCTCTTCCACTATTATAATCAGAATCAGCACCAAAAACATCATTAGGATCTTCGTTAGGATATGTCTTTTGAAAGTATAACAAAACATCTTTCGGAGAAACATGATCATTTTTTGTTTCCAAAGCCTGGAAAAACAAGATGAGTTATAAGTGATTTTAATTGGATGTGGTCTATTAAACTACAATATCGCAAAAATTGCTGAAGGAACTTGAGAATAAATTTAAAAATATTCATATCTAAGCTTACTTGGTGAAAAAATAGAACAAGTACAAAATTTGAAAATAAAAAAATAAAATCAAAAGCCAAATTCAAAAAATGCATGTTTGATATGTATTTTAAAAATCTCCATGACTTTTAAACCTTTATCATAACTTCCATTGCTTTCTGAATACCATGTTTTTCTTTGACAAAATTATATAAGTTATACATAGCAACAGAAGCATCATTAAAACCATCTACATCTTTGTCATCGTTGACTACGAACACAACTCCAATTCTCAAACAAGAAACGTTTGCTTTATATATGAAAAATATACTTCAAAAAAAGCTTGAAACTATGTAAATATTTTTCGCATGTATGAAATTTTTGTTTTCTATAGAAAAATATTTATGACACATGGAATCTGAAAATATAAAGCAATACCGGACAGGTACTTCATGGATGTAGAATCGTAAGGCATACTGCAGTAAATCTTGAGTTTTTTTTTGAGATGGATCAATGATGAAAACCTGGAAATATATTTTTACTTTCAAAGTGAATACAGATATCGAAAAACAGATCACAGACGAAAGTCTCATATGAAGGAATAATAAACTACATAAGACTTAAGAATGTCGATGAAATAGATTGTCCAAACAACCCCGAAAATAATGCAACCAAATTTTCAGAATCACAAAGTTCTATTCATTAGTTATTATCCAGTTCATATGATTAATGGATGACTGATTAATAAAACTGACTACATTTACATGATGAAATTTGCAGTTTACGAACCGCACAATAGAAAACCTTACAAAGTTAACTGGGGAAATAAATTATATTTATTCAAGAACTACCAAGGTAAACAAATTTCTAGCAATCGGGCGAAGCATTCCTGGAAAATACGGAAAATATGGCTCAAGCAGCAAACTGATATTCTTTGCCCAATGCCGATACTGTCTATCAACATCCAAATTATTCAAATACTAAAATACACATTTCTTCAACAAATATTTAAATAAAATGCAAAGAGAAAACCCGGAACTTTCAGGTAGTAAAAAGTTCCTGTTTTAATTGAATCTAATTTACTCTAGTCGCAGAATTAGAAATCACAACCTCTGGTGATGCCGGTCTAAAATCCAAAGCATATGGAGCACGATCATTATTTGATTCGAGATCAATAAGCATATTAAGATATTCTCTCTGAAATATCATTTTTTACACAGCAAGCACGTCTAAAAAACAATGCTGGATTATGTTTTAGAAAGAAACGAAAAATTTTTCTAACTCTAATCGATACTTCGGGACTACCTCCATGCAAATGAAGAATCAAAAAAATACGTTTCCTGACAATTTTTTTATAAACACATCAACTCACCTTCATTCCCATACGGAAAAACCCACTGGCTAGTGTCACTTCTTGTTCTAGCAAATTCAGTACTTGAAATACATCGAGAGCATCAATGTCTACTGAGATACCATTTATAAGTAATAATGATTCCCCTTCTGATACACCCAGTTCCATGAGATGTTCCTGATTTGTAATAATCTGCAAACATTTTCCTTATTACTGATTGATTCAAATATGGCGAACATAAAAGAAATTCTTGGAATTTCTCACAAAATAACGAAAATTGCTAAAAAAGTAAATTAAAAGAATTTGCTTTCAAACACAACCTCAGAAGTGAATTCTTTGCTCACAACTTGTCGTGACAGTGATCGCGCAGCAAGCGGAAAATTTTGACTTAAATCAGTCAACATATCAAGAGCTTTCTTCGGACCAGCTTGGATAACTCTTTGAGCAGCTTGATAACTGAGTTCCTGAACTTGCCACACTTTCAATGGAGCAAGCTCATCACGTTCTAACAAATGTAGCCGAAACTGTTCAAGTGATCCTTTCAAATGTCCATGAAGCCGACTGGAAAGTCTATTGTAAAGCACATTTCTTCAAAAATATTTTGTTAAAAATTTAAAATAATCATTATTTGGCTTTTATGAGTTTTTCCAACCGCTACCATTTCCAGCTAACATTTGAAAAATAATGAACAAACGTATGAAACGGTTATTATTTTTGATTTCTCTTTCCGATGCAATTAATTTCATGTGCGAAAAATAAGACACGTCTTAAATATAATCTCATATGTTTGAAAATACTACAAACCGTAGAATATTGAAATTGAATCCATAGTTATCTTCGCTGTCTGCATATTCTTCTGAACTATTCGCAACAAATCCCTCATCAGCTAAAGCATCTTCTGAAACAAATTATGATTCGAGTTCACAGAAGAAAACAAGAACAAATAAAATCCAATTATGAAATATGAAGAAGTTTCAAAGATACCACAAACGTGATAACACAGAAAAGACTCTATCTAAACTCACCTAAAACATCAGTGCTGTCATCAACTGCTTTATATTCAGTACTTTTGATAGCTAGTTCAACTCCATAACTTGATAAAAGAAGCTTATCATCGCGAGCATCCTAAATATTTTTTTCATTGAAAAATACTTCACGCTGTTAAAAATCCAAATACCAAAAAATAATCGTGACAAGTCTTGTTAACTTCATTAGAAACTAAAACTTGCAGCAGAGTAAAATAACTGAAAATGAATTTTAGAACTACTTTGGTATAATGTCGAAAAATATATTTGATTTTGCCGTTTCGAGTCAGTGTTTTTGCAGCTAAATGAAAGTTTCGCCATGATGAAGTAGCCAATTCACCATATAAAATTAACGTAACATTGTGAATTGTAGTTGCAGGGAATACATGGTCAACAGAATAAACTGTTGGTGGACGACTGCTAGAAGAAAAAGAAAGGTGGCATCATAATCAGTTAATGTGTTCATTTCATACTGTCATTTCAACACAGTTTCCGTCTGAACTTACCTTTGTGCTTCATCAATAACTTTTTCCAAACTGTCTACATCGCATGTAATGGCACCATTAATAACAGCAAATGTTGTACATGAACTTTTCATTTCATCACCTAGCTGAAAAATGAAGATGAGCTTATAGTTAAATAAAACTACAAAAATAAATATTAAATTTCAGGAAGCTCCTAACATTTCTAAAAAATAAAAGTATTAATATAAAAGGTGATAACTCCACTTACAAAAATCTGCATAATCATTGCAATAATAATGTCGCAGTTCCTAATCAAAAAACAACAATATGAGAATATATTACTTTTTGAAATAGCGAGACTACAGGTGAATGAGATCGCAGTGATAAAGAAAATTTTAGAAGATTTTGATGAGAACCCTCCAACAAGCTGTCAGCAAGACGCACTGCGAAATCATGCTGTTTGGCATCGCTGTCTGAAAATTAGAATTTTTAACTTATGATTACAGTCACACTGTGACTGTATCACTTTCTTGAATTTACTAATTAATAGATTTAAATAAATCAGTAACCAAGGATACATATATTTGAATCAGATTTGGACAAAAAAGAAGTAATGATTTTATGTCAGAAATTACTTGAACGATTTATAAAATTCATGTTACTGTTATCATCTTGCTGATAAGAGGTCTAGAATTATCTCCATTGAATGAATTAAAATTTCAGAAACATACACGTATTCCATTCGCTGACGTCAACATTTTCAATAATCTCATCAATATAACTCCAAAATAAAGCATTGCTTTTTCGAGCCATAAACTCACTGAAATTTGCCAGAAAATTATTATATTAGGATGCGGTTCAACCTACGAAACTGAGCGAATTCTCTACACATAAAAATATTTCCAACTTCTTTAATAATTTTCAAAACACTAATTTCTATACAACAAACCTTGCTTCGGCGATAAACGAAGTTTGATACCATTTTGCTTGTAGCGATGCAATCACTGATTTTTTACTTCTAACAGAATTAATAGCAGCAGGTAGAGTATAGAGAATAATTAGTAACCACAGTTTTTCGATACCCATTTCTTAAATTGAAAAATTATTCCTAATTCAGTATGAACAACTAGCTGAAATGGTTTGTTCGCTTGTCTTTAAATACTGGTTGTTCAGTTGCAAGCAAGAATACCAAGAAATAAAATCACAGCTACCTTGCTAGCTTACAAAACATAGAAACTTTCTCAGATCAAACTTCTTCGCAAATGTGACAAATTAATACCACAAAAAGCTACATTTTGTTTTGATTCTCAATCAAACTGATCAATTATTTATTTTAATTTGCAAATAAAACAATTTTTTCTTGACAAAATTTATGAACACTAAGTTATAAGTTAATAGTAGTAAAGAATATGCAAATATTTTCACATGCAAAAAGTATAAGCGAACAAACCATTCTTGCAAGTTCTTTTTGAAAATCAACCGTAATGTTTAACTTTTACTTCAGTTAAAGAATTAGGTCTAAGAAACCAAAGTAATACTTTCAAATGATTGAAGAGATTCTCTAAAAAGTATCAAAACATTCATATGAATAATGATGAAGGGTAGAAGTAACTCCTTCAGATTATTACTATATTTTTTATCCTCCCGATAAGATTATGACTTATGCTTAGTAACTTTTACTATTGATTAATAAGATTAATGTCGATGCCATTATTATAATAAATTTCAACCAAGTTTCCCTTTGATAATTAATGCTTAATTTACTGAAATAGCCATCAACGACTTTAGGCAAGCATTAATTACAATTTTGATAATTGTTGCAGCGATTTATCAACAACTGCATGAATAATTGATTAAGAACGAAAAGGATTCAAAACAATTGAAAGATAAGGAATTCATAATATTCAATCATTTTCCAAAAACGAAGTGACATGCTGTAAGAGAAGAAGAACTAATCAAAGAATGATTTCTAGTTGATCCATCTAAAAGATTAATTTGAGTTTACTATTAAAATGATAGTTTGAATCAAACACTGTTGAATCAAGGATAAGATTGAATAAAAAACAAGTAATAAGTAAATCAATTTTGAATGTGAATCATAAAGCTTCTGAAACAGTAGTAATTCAAAGCTAGACAATAGTCAGAAGTTATGTGTAATGACAAATCATCAGTGCTTTATGAAAACAACGTCATATTTATTTTAAGGTAAAATTTTTTTGATTTTCACAACTAATTAAGTACTCTCGTGGCTCTTTTTGATACTACTAATTAATCACCTGATACTGCAGTGAATTCAAACTGCAAAATGTAAAGACCACGCAACGATTTTACAACTGCGTGGTCCACCAATATGCACAACTTAATTTCAACGTAGTCCATATGAAAATTATGTAGCCCAAGCAATGCATGCTGGTTGGCGCCATATTTGTAATTTCATTGGTATAATATGCTTAGAAAGACTGTACCAACGAAAGGAAGCGTTAGGGTGTGTGATTCACAGCGTTAAACGGAGAAGTAAGCTTGTTCTTCTACAGCTTCACAATATGTTTGGAAACATCCTAATGTGAACAACGTATCAGCAGCCATAACGGCACATCCACGGAAACTATCATCAATAGCTGATTCATCAATTTGGCTTCGATACGGAAACATTAGTCCTCAAAATGAAGCACGATACTGTAACCTCCAAGATGGAAATATGTTTGGAGCTGAGAAAGGTATGTGCCAACACTGTCTGGAAACATTCCCATTCCTGCAAAGACACTCTGTTCACGAGATAGTAGCGAATGAAAACGTGGTAAGAAGATTAAGTACGGCTAATAAACTCGGAACGGAGATTAAGTGAAGAACAGAAATATTTCCGATTGTTTTGATTTTGGATTGCATAGCAACGGACTTCTATAAATCCTACGCGAAGCAAATGACGGATTAAGTTGAAGCATATATCCAATCGATAGAGCTCAAGAAGATCACATTCGACTACAGCTGTGAATTCGATGAGGATGTAGCAACAGAGACAGATTAAACTCCGAAATTACAATAATTTGAATATGAAAATCTATTTTCTGTATATTTAAAGGAATGAATTGGCTTTTAAGCATTATTATTCATCAACTGTAGCAGTGTTAGGCACAAATTAGTGTTCTGCGAATTCGCTACAAAAATTCAATAAATTTTAGTAAGATTTTAATAAGAATTGGTGTAGTATAGACATACTGCAAATCTTATATTACAAGAGTATTTTGAGTACAAGAAAAGTCTACATTACATTAAATACATTAGAAGCTTGTAATAGATTTTCATCATATTAATTTTTAAGACTATTTTTGAATTTTGACTTCAAACTGATTGAAATATTTCAGTCTGACTGAGATACTTTTTAGTTTCTTTTTAAAATTTGCTGTTTAATTTTTGAATAATCTAAATAATATTAAGATGGATAAGATTCAAATCTCAAAAACAGAAGAAAACGCGCGTGCAGTTGTTTCAAATTCGCAAAAATCAAGTAATAATCCATTGCTCGAATTTAAATAATTTCTTAGCAAATGAAATAATTACCTGAAAATAAAACTTATCTAGTTGAGACCTTGGCTGTTTGGTCCTAAACTTTTAAAAATTTCCTACTCATGGCCTTAAGAATGAACAAATATAAGAGATTAATAATAAGGAAAATGAATTTATTGCTTAAAAATTTCAATTTCCAAAATGTGTAAACAAATTTTCTTCGTTTATTTTTGCGCTAAAGTTTGATATTCAATTTCATGTTTAATAAAATAATATTTTGAATAAATAATTTTAATAAATTCTGGCTTTATTTGATCATAATCAAGCAACAAATTAATTAAAGTGTATAACCAGTTTCAGGTTCACTAGATTTTATGCAGGCGGTACCAAAATCACAGGACTCTGAGGTAGAAAAACTTTCTGACAGAAATCGCAAACATTCTCAAAGGAAAAAGTTTATTCAGCAATTATCCGAAAGCAAAATATGCAAATATATGGAATGCATGCAATCTAACAACAAATATAAGAATCAAATTGGATTTAGTAGTATGCACAATTGCGCTCAATGTAATATGGAAGTAATTACGGAATGTACAGTAAACAAGAATAACGATTTAATAATTCATACAAATGCATGCGATGACAAGTCGGATGTTCACAATACGACTACAATTAAGAAAGCACTAGCGCCTTCTCCAATTTGTAAAAATACCCTCGATTCAGAATTAACCACTACAAATCCATTCTTTAATTATAATTATAATCAAATTAATGATGATAATAATGGTGCTGACTTAGCAAAATGCGTACATTGTGGTAGTAGAAATGTCTCATTAGTACTTCATGATTTTAATGGGCAAGCGATGAACAGATCAAGTGCAAATTTGAGTTCTCATAAGGAAAGCTACGACAGTAATGTTATTTTGGAGAATTCTGCAAGCAAATATCATAATAATGAAGATCAATGTAAAAAAGATCATCAACCTGGAACACGTGAAAACTATGTTCATCGACATTGTCAATGCAGTGATTGCATACAAAATTATTCTGCCAAATCAGAAGGCAATACAAAGCAGGAGGAGAAATCAGATACTGATAGTTTTTTTGATGAAATGGATTCTATATCTGAGACAAGTTCTATACCTTCTGCACGAATTCAGAGAGCACCACATAATTTGAATTTGAATTTGGAAAAACAAGAAATATCATCAAATAAAATGTCTAATCAGAGTTCAAAATTAGAAACAATAGCTATGAGTGATGACATGAGAACAAGTTTTGAGAAATGTGATTCAAATATAATGTCACAGGGATCGCAAATATCACTTTTTACTGCTATTAAGGAGTCAAAAAGTTTCACTGAACGAATTCTGAAAACGCCGAGAGTGACAGAATCTGAAAATACAACAACTGATGAATCTGAATTTTCACTTCTCACAGCTAAACAGGTAACAACAACTAACAATAATAAAATTTTCAAAAGAAACAAAGAAATTTTCATTAAGTAATAATGTTTGCTTTAAACGAGATCTCAAATTAACTTTCATTCTGAAAAATCTTACTAACTGAATAGTTATTTTGAACAGATGCAATATTTCTGAAAATGCTTATTTTCTTATTTGTTTAACAAATTTGTTATTAATATTTAGGGTTCATTGGCACAAATTTCGGCTTCTGAACTGAATCAGTTGTCAACTGCACAAGCTATATCGGAGTTAAGCTTATCAAGTGATAAGACTGCACTAGGTTGGTAATAAGTTTTTAAATATTCAAACAATTTATTGCAGCCATAAAAAGCCATTATTGTACGGAAACTGTTCAGGCGATCACTGCACATTACGTGCTGAATCAGTTATTATGCCTTCTGAAATGTCTGCATCAACAATCAAACGTGTCAAAAGTTTGCCTGATTCGAAGTCAACGTGGGCAGCTAAATTCAGTACTTGCATGGATAGTAATGCACCAATGAGAACTGAATTTTTCAATTGCAATAATTATTCATCAGAAATTAAAAATATGATTGCTCATAAATTATTACAATGGTTTAACAATCCTGCTAGAGAACACTTGTCGGACAATTATGAAGAACTAAATCATTCTAAGAATTCTGTGTTAAAAACAGCTTCAGAAGAAAATGAAAATGATATATCTTCAATAAAAACAGCAAAATCAATCAGTGGAGGTAAAGCTTTTCAGTATTTTAGATTAGACTGAAATTTGAACAAGTAAATCGCCTAAAATTTTTTTTAGTCAAAAATGTATTCATTTAATATGAAAAATTTAAGACAAGTATATTGCAACTTTTTGAATTACTATTAAATCTGTTATTAAAAAGATGTATTTAAAGTTTTTAAGCATTTAAAAAATGCTTATTTATTTCACCAAAATTTTATTTGCAGCTGATAACGAGCAAATCTCCAGTGATAAGCAAGTAATGATAAAGATCGGTAACGAAGATGAAGGGGAACATGCACAAAATATCACGGTTAACAACTTCTTGATCTACAAAGAATATTGTGTTCATATGATGTTTTTTTTGCAAGGTATTCATAAGTTTAATGATGAGAATATTTTGTGCAGGTTAAGTGTGAACTCAATATTTCAATACGGATACGCCAGAACGAATTTTTATCATCACCAGAATTCATTTTGCAAAAACTTGCTGTAGATGGCATCAACGTGTATGACATGACGAACGAACAAACTTGAAGAAAAAGTTAATTAATTAATTAATTAATTGGCAAAATATGAACCACAGATCTGTATAGAATTCACTTTACAGTGTTTGGTTGATATATATTTTCATCATTGTAATTAGTAATATTATCAATTAATTAAATTAGCATTATACTTGAAACCTTTTGATTTCTATAAACTATTTTCAATAACCAAATATTTTCTCGGATATTTTAACTGATTACTAGCTAAGTCAGAAAAAGCTGAGATAAATCGTATTACTTATATATAAGCTTGTCGCAATTTTCTGTTATAATCCATTTGATTACATTTGAAAGAATGAATAAATTAATTTTAAACTGATTTGTATTGGAACTGAAAATGAAAGTGATTATCAATAAGTAATTCAATTAAAGTAAATAAATCTCAAAAATATACTTTTTTATACAGTTTTTATTAAAAAAATCAGATCAAAAAGTATTATCACTCCAAGTTTTGCTTCGAAGAATTAAGACGAAATATTCGCCGTAGTGAACTGACTACTTTTTTGTAGAAACCATTTGAGTGGTGTGTTGATGGCGCTTCTTGAGTTCCATCAACTTTCATATTTGCGGACTGAAAATTGCTACAATCAAAAATTTGAATTAATCATATCCTTGTCACTAAATTCATTACTGATATTTGTTATGATAATAATTAGCGTTATAATAATTAATCATCGCGCAGTTTATACATTAATATATACGTCGTTGTGCAATTTTAAGTAATGAATAGTAAAAATTACTTTGTACACAAATTTATTACTTTAGAAATGAAATGCTTCTAGATAGTAATTTTTTTAGAGAAATAAGTAATTTGTACTAGAAAATAATTGCAATTTGATAGAAGAAATAATTTATCAAAAGAATAAATGAAATAATAATTATTATCTGAAGATTTATATTTAATTTTTTTATCAATGCCTATTTATAATTAGTTGTACTACAAAATCAAACAAACAATCTTTCCTGCTTCAATCTAAATTACAATTTTTTTGTACTGAATAACTACACTGAATTCTATCATACAAAGTAAAGTGTTGACTGTACTACAATATTTTTGTTTGATTCCATCCACATGTTTACTGCTGCTTATTAAAGCTTAATTAATCAAATTTCAAAAACAAAGATTTTTTCTAAGAATTAATCTTTCTTAAAATATTTTTTGAATTTCGTCAAAGAATATTTTGACTTAAAAAATTATTACTATAAATAATAGTTTGTACTGTAATAAAAATTTTAATGACTTCTTAGCTAATTTATGAAGAAGATAAAAAATAGAGTATGAAATTCTAAAACAAAAATTTCCGTTTCGCTCAAAGTTTAATTGTCAAGTTTTGCTGCAGTAATTACATCCATCCATCATAACTTTGATAAAATGTAGCTTACAAAATTAAGTTATACTTCATTGAACTTGCTCGTATACAAAATTATCGTATCAAACTCGAACTTGCTTACATAATTACTAATTTACAGAATTATTTGACTGATCTTGAAATTATTAAGTCCACTGTCACATGTAGTTGATGATTGTTATGAAGTACTACTAAGTAAAAGTAATTTTTTTGTCTATATATTTTTCGAATTTTAATTTTCGTTACTTACACATCATAACTTGTATCATTTATATACTGCTATTTGCTTTTTTGAAAGCTGCACGTTTCTAATTACAATAACTCGTCGGAATATAAAGCATTACGTGACATTGTTTGAACATAAAGATTGAAAGATGCTCACGTGGTAATTAGCATTTTAAAGTGATAAAAATAAACTTAACTTGTTACGCATTTCTTAAGTAACAAATAATGATAATAATTAAATAAAATTGCTGTAATTTATCTATTTCTGTCCTAAAAAGTAAATTTATATCTTATAAAGTCTGCACTGATTAGGTGAATAAACAAAGCAATTTCGAGTTTTTAAGTACGAGAAGAATACTGAAAACAAAGCACATAACCTTCTGTAAATTATCTGTTTTACATTCTAATTATTGTTGAATTTATTGTTTTTGTGGAATATTCAGCGCTATGTTTATGTTGTCGAAACCTATCTCATTAAAAAGCAGCATAAAAATTATTAGATGGACAGCTGAATAAAACAAGTCCCAGCATTAATACTTTACAATTGTATTAGCCATTATTTGTACTGACCATTATTTGTATTGGTCATTATTATTTTTGTTTTCAATAATTCAAAACTGACTGATTAAATGCTTCTGAAAACTATTTGCTTAAAATTTTAACTTTTTCCAGTTGAACTTGTTTTTTAGATCCTAAAGTTTATGACAGACAGTACCATATCTCAATAACTTGTACATCTAATTACTGTTTTCTGTTATCAGTTAAATTGCTATTTTTGACACAATTGCTGAATGAATTAATTTTTTATCTCTTATGACCTTTTCTAAATTTAATGTTTCTTACTGTATTATAAAAGTAGAAGCAATCTCAAAACTGACATTGAAAAAGTTTTTTTTTTCGGTTTTTCAACAACTGTGAAGGATTGTTCTTCTCTGCATAATAGTAACTTATTGTTACTGCTAACAATATTAGTACTGACGTTATCATTAATAATAATGACTGATATTGTTACTGTAGCGATAAAGTATTGGTACCAATGTTAGTATTAGTATAATCAACGCATTTACTACTGCATTAACCTTCGGTATTGGATCAGCGATTCGGGCAATATAAAGTGGTATATTTCTGCTATTGTCCCAAATAATAACTAGAAATGGCATGTCTAAGATGCATATATGGTCAACTTGTGCTGGGATTTTTTTCACCACACTATAATTGTATTAATTATTACAAGCAAAACTGATATCAGTAAAAAAACAAAAAAAATGAATTCAAAGTTGCGAGGTCGTTCGTTTTCTACGAAGGTAATCATATCTTATTCATCAACGAATTACAGTTTTTAGCTAGAAAAGAATTATTGAAATTGAGGGCAAAATTTTTTAGCTATTAGATTGTAGAAGAAAAATGAATAACTCAATCTCATCAGGGTCAGGAGTATACAAAACTTCTAATCGGTCAATGTTTTGTATACTTGTAGTTAAACGTGGTCCAATAATATAAGATGGTTCGTGTCCAGCAGTACCCAAATCACCGAATCCTTCAGGTTGAAATAATTTATCAATGTGTGGTACTGTTTTACATAATGCATCCGCAAGATTTGCAGTTTTTTGAGGTAAGCCATAAAAAAGAGGTACGTAAAGCTCGTGAAGTATTCGAACTGATTCCTACAACGCATCACACTTTATACATTAACTAATTATTCAAATATAATTGAAAAAAGAAATTCAAATTGCTACAGATTACATTTATAATCAAAGTGATAAACTATTTACAATACATCTGCTCGCATATTAACGAATTCAGAGAAAACCCTGATTACATTATAAAGAAAACTAAAGCTGTTAATTAAATTATGAAAAAAATTATTTAAGTTTATAAGTTAGCAATATTTTAAGTATTTTAATATTCAAACTGAAAATCAATTTTACAATCAAAATGTAATCCACTGTTTTCAAAATATATTGACTAACTTACAATTCAATTAATTTTATTTATTTTTTCTCTTTGTGTGGTAGATCAGGTTTTATATTTTTAATAATGCAGCAGAGAAAGAATTGATCACACCATAAAATAAAGAATTTAAGTAAACTTTCCTCAGTTTGACTAATTATTCATGTAAAATTAAGTTTTTGATTTTATCAAATAAATCAATTTTTGAATCAATGTAGAATTTAAAAAAGTAACTCACAGATTCCATGCCACTTCTCATAAAAGTGATCATATTGATTAACGAGCCAGGATCTTTAGCTACATCGGAACTATCAATATTTGACATGCAATATGCTGCAATATTATCGGAATATGTAGGCAACGTTATCAGCAAGCTATCTTGGTATTGCAAGCACCGGAATGGTGGCAAATCTCGACATGCATATCGGCACACCAGCACTTCTATTACTTTTTTACCCTTGAAAACCAAAAGGCTACCAAATTTTATAATTTAAATTTTTTAGAAAAATCACAAAATTTAAATTAGTGTTGTCAATTAGTACGAAAAAAGATATTCACACTCACTACAGTCTACTAAATATCATTACTTAAGTGATAATCAAATATGACTTCAGAAATTATCCTAAACATTTATTTTTGAAAATTTAATTGCCTAAAATAAACTTTAAAAAACAATTACTTTTTGAAAATTTAATTACTTGTAGTATTTTTGAAAACATTTATCCTTTAAAAAAGAATTAAAAATTTAACTACTAAAAAATAGTTATTTTTTGAAATAAAAAAACTCATAATTAACCAAAAATACTTGTGATATTTTTGAATTGCCAGAAGAATGTGATGACATCGTAGAATCTGTCAAATTTTTCGTTCTTATCTTCTTATTCAAATTTAAATTATTTGCTATGCTAATTAAAACAACTCGTACTTCAACATGTTTATTAGCATTTTTGCGGATCTAATTATGCAAGAACCTTAAAAGTAGTGTAATAAATATTGTGCGTGTCAAGAATATTAGTTGACATTGGAATGTAAAAATGTGATGCAAAAATGAGTATTGGACATTTTTGGTTGTTCAATTCCTGAACATCTGATGTTTTCGTTTCTGCTTTTTTCCATAAATTTATTGGACAGTGAGCTTCACCTTCTTCAGTCTAAAAATAATACTTTAAAAAAACAATCATTTTCGCTATGCACTTAATCACTTTCTATCACAATCATAATTATTTATTTATTAAAACTTTGATTCGGTTTACAATCTTGCAAACTTATTATAATAAACTTTGTTATAAATTTTGTACTTTTACTTTTTTGCATAAAATTAAAATTATGTTCACGTAAAGAGAATGAGTTTTAACACCTAATTTGAATAAATAAAATTGCGTACCTTGCACGTTCTTCGTAGCCACGCTACTAATTCTGCGTGACCTGTTTTTTCATCATAGATTTTGAGTTCAATACCGAGATATTTCAAAGCCATAAATGTTTCGAAGCCGTAACTTTTGGTATGCAAAGGATGTATTAACATACGGCGATTCCAATTAAAACTACCTAAAATACACGTTTAGCGCCAAAATACTAAATCTAAAATGGCTTTTATCTTACAATAGCGATGAAAGTTTTGTCAGAAGTTTTAATTTAAGTTTCTCACAAAAAAAAGAACCGAAAAATTTTTCACAAAAATTTGCAAGCATTTGAAGTCATGAATTTATTACCATAGAACTAATCACTTTGAATTCTTAAATTGAATAGTCAAGTTCATAATTTTATACATTTGGTAGATCTTATCAAGGATTCAAAACTTAAAAGTTGTCCTTAAAATAAAGAATTCATCTTGAGTTGCATTCATTAGAAACTGATCCACTTACGTGACTGAACAAATCAGTATTACGTGGTTCATTACGAGGTACAAGTTTTGACTAAGATTTGTATTCAAAGTCATGCTGTTTCTTTTCAAAGCTTACCAGGTTTTACAGCAGCTTCAGCAAATAGCTCCCAATTTCTAATGTACTCTGCTAAATTTGCAAGTTGATGAGGTATTGTATCACTATTGTTTGATTGCAAGAATTCTAACAATGATAAGCGTGTCTGTTGCTCAGCAACCTCAACTCTAAGATTTTACTTACTTTGAAAGTAATTTTTCTATCAGTTACGCAAGATAAATAATAATTAATTGTTAATGTCTAAAAAATATTATTCTATTTTAGCTCTAATTAAAGTATGATGGTGAATATTTACTTAATGTATTTCTGACTGAGCGTTATTTCTTGAAAATATTTTCTTCATAATGTAATAATATTTATGCACAGATACATGTTTCATTTTTAACCTTTCAACTCTGACTTATTTACTAACTAATTATTCTGCGTTATTTGTAGCAAATTTCTAAATCGGTATAAGTTTAATTTTACTGTCAGTTTAATTTTTACGTCAAATTTTTACGTCAGTTCTGTTCATAACAAAATATTTTCTATGAAATTTCAGATTTAGCTTGTTGATAACAGCAAAAATTTATGATATAACCAGCAGAATGATATTTTTACTACATTTTATACTCTTCTTTCACTCAAAAAAGTTTTTACTTCACAAAGAAAAGCGATTAAAGCAATAAGCTGTGGTACGCAAATGATATCATTACGTGCTCCTCTGTCATTCGTAATTGACCTGTGAAAGGTATAAAATTTATACGTATAACATCTGAAACCAAAAAAAAAACTAGATATCTGAATCAATTAATTGAAAAAATTATGATCAGAAATATTCAGAAATGAAGGCATGGACAGAAGTGAAAGGCAGAGGACAAGAGGTATTACGGCAAATCACTAGACGCATGGATACAGATTTGGTCCGTACATTTGTTTCCAAAAAATCAAATAGGAAACAAGTTTTCGGAGATAGTTTTCCCGCCAATTGCAGGTATGTAATTGCTATGCTGCACATTTCACGGCAGTAAGTATATAGTTTGCAAGTATTAGTAATGAGGAAGACTGTACTGCATAATTGGATATTTGCTTTTAATTGCATTTGTAAAAGCTTACAGAAAGATTCGGAAAGCTGTACTTGCCCATAAATCGAGATGAGCTGTTTTGATTACTTGCAGAGCCTTAACTTCATTTGGCATTTTCTACTATCACCTGGCAGATCTTAATCAGTCCTTTCAATTTCTCTCTTCTAAAAACTGACTTGTTTAATATTCATAAAAGTTCTTGCCATTGATTACATATTTGAATGATTCAGTACTGTCAGAAGCTGTGTAGATCCTTTCAAGACTGAATATTTATGGATAGTTTACTAGAAATGTACTGTATGTGAATGAGCTTGTCTCTTTTGTACTGATAATGGATGCGTATGATGATGACTTCTTCTGAAATATATATCAAGCATTTTTGTTAAAACAATTTTATATAATAAAATGAGAAAAATTACTAGCTTATGTGACTCTTCGTTTCTAGTAAAACAAATGTTTCAGCAGTTTTGTCACATTTGTTGAAAGAGTTTTCAGTAATAATCTCATATTGTCCTTTAAGTATTAAAACATACTGAGATATGTGAACTGTATCAGTACTGGTCAGAAGTCAACGTTCCTCGCCATTTCAACAAATATGGAGTGATTTAACTGAGGTTGCAACGAAATTTAAAATCAAATTTGTGTGCACAAACTAATATGAATTAATTTGCCATCACTGAATTATGCAAATTTTTTTATTTTCTATCACTGTCAACAAATACCTTCAATATGATATATGATTCTTAGCAGTACATTATACAATAATGAAAAAAGGCTAAATTTGGCTTTTGTCATTACACGACATAAATGAAAGAATATGGATTCCATGTAAGAACTGTAATAAAAAGTTAACTTCTGCAAATTAGTATGTTTTATTTGACGAGTTCAGATTGCAACGAAGCTGTTAATTACCATCTGGATACAGTTGATATTCAAAGAAAAGTAATGAAACAGCATAAGCAAGGCATGGAAAATTATCAAAATAATGAAGTTATCAAATTACTACGATAATTAATGAAGGCTAGCAAAGAAGTCAATTTATATAAATTAAGACGCAATTTTAAGCTAATTTGCTAAATACTAAATTTTAGACTTGAATCTTCATTTAGTTCATTGAGCCAAGACTAGACTCAACTACATTACACTAGAATTCCTTCCCAAGTGAAGGCAATGTCAATAAATGAATAAACAATCCGTGAAATATATTCAACTGTATTTTCTGCTAAGCAGAAGACTGTTGACTTTGCTTCAGTACGATGAAACTTTGTTCAGTACGATTAATAAGAATGCATTAATTAATGTTCCTTAATGGCATAATAATTTTTTCACTTCTTCATTATTCAACGGAAGCTTCGTGAGATAGTATGGAAGTATTTGCTGCTTCGAAGTGACAAAAATCCTTCTTTCTTTGTTTAAAAAATATTACTTTACAAATGTATACGTTAAAACGTACTATTAAATAAACTTACACGTTGCACTCACTTTGCAAAACGTATTACTTAAGATCTCGACAACTGTAACATCAACTGTGCTTACTGCAAAATTAGTAATTAAATTTTCATTACGTACTTTGCACTGCAATAAATTATTTATTGAGATGACCGATGTCCACTAATTGTTAATAAGTGTCCGCTATCGGACTTTTCAAATGGAATGAATGATAGATTGAGTTTGAGTGCAAAGAAAATGATAAAATATCCACATGTTGACTGAGGTACAGATAGATTTCATGCAAGGCATTACATCTCTTTGGATACATTTACCATATACAATCAGAATCATAGCCTATACTTTTAATTCTCAACAATAAATTCGATAGTAGAAACATGGAAAGCTCGAGACTTGATCTCGATTAATGTATTCAGAGTAGGTAAAAAGTACGGAAAGTTAACTGCTGCTGACATTACTCGAAACTTGTGACTTTCCGGGGGATTACTGATTACCTGTAGCCATTCTTCTCTCTCTGTACGGCTATTTGCTGCAACGTGCAGCATTTCAAATGAATGACGTCCTCTCCTGAATCCTTTTTACTCTCAATAAAAAAACAAATAGCAAGGAATCTTAATTCACTACTGTATTGATTGATTTATCAAATGTATGAGTGAGAGAAAAATGTCGTCACGTGTGCAGCTGATATACACTTGATGATAAAATTCAAGTTATGTCCTGTTTCTTACTTGCAGTAAAGCATGCCTGCTGTTACTTGATCTATATTATCACTCCTATACGGAAAGTTAACTGCTCCTGACATTACTCGAAACTTGTGATTTTCCGGGGGATTATTGATTACCTTTAGTGGACTTGTGTGTTAAACACGTGTTATTATTTATGGAAAATAGTTTATACTTAATTAGCATCATTTGATTTGTCATATGTCACTGGGATTACGGATAATTCAAAATATGAAAAGCTCAATAATGCGTGGAATCAAACAGTAGCAGATACTTCGTTATCTGTTTCTCTCGCAATGAGTAAAAAAGCAATTCCTGAACAAAATAGCACGATCTCAAATATCGTGTGATTATATACACTGATATGAAGTCGAATATTCGAAAAAATGTATGTGCTGAAAAATAAAATAAGGAACTTAGTGAAGGCTTATATTAATGCATAGGGACAAAATGGCGAATTTTAATTTAACTTTGCGAGTTTAAAATAATGCTTCAACTTTCGTTAAATTAATAAAATTATGTATCTGCGAGTGTTCTACAAGAATGTGAAGTTGAAAATTCGAAAAAAAATGTGTTGGAAAATATAACAATAACTTCAGTGACGTAGGTAGTAGTGTAGAGCGTACAATTCAGCGGAATTTTCGTCAAGACTCGACATTTGAAATGACGGAATATTTGGGGAATCAACTTCTTAGCTATTAGCTAACATAGCTTAATTAAAGTGCGGCAATACAATATTAAACATATTAGCTCACTCCACTGTTCTCGCAGTGGTCAAGTTCATGTTTAGTGGACTTGTGTTCATCTTCATAATATTACTCTCTTCACACTATTCAGAGTATTATGTGCCTTGGGATATTGTAAACAACTTGACATTCAAAACATCATCTACATTCATCCTTCCTTCACACATTTTCTAATGAATTCTACAGAAAATTACATGTAAGAAAAAGTCTGCGCGGTTTTCCGTCAATGTCTTCCGTATGATAATGAATTCAACGTATTTTTTGCTGTTTTCTCACCACTATGCTCGTCGTCAGCCTTGTATTGCAATGCTGAAGTATTATCTTTCAATAACAGATTCAACATCAGTACATTGCAATTAGCGTTTTGAACATAACAAAACACAAGCAATTGATACACTTTTATTGATAGAACACAGAAATAAGATTGATAAGCACGTTAAATTCATACACAAATTACAATTAAACTGCATTCAAAATATGAAATATGAATGGTTCCGAGAAAAAGCAATACATAATAATAAAATGCAAGAATCAGAGGATTCCGTAAAAATATGATGCAAACGAATTATAGTTTCTAAAAAAGTTTCATATTGAATGAACTAATGAATTTCACGTGTTGCTGAGTGTTATTCGCTAATGCAAAAAAGTATACTGTTTTAGGAAACAAATATGTCACTTGTTCCGGAATATCTCAAATGGCTTCCTCAAAATTGCTTACTTTCCACTTCTCACAAACTGACAATATTACAATGAAGCAGCCACTACCATAATGCTTCTAACGCAAATATCAAGTAAACAGTATTGACATATCTCTTTGATTATTATTATTTTTTGATCTATACACCATTTTACCTATTGATCAATCAATCAAGCAGGCATCATAAATCAATCTGTGCATCGTTCTATTTATCTTATGTTGGAAGACGTCAAAACTACAATTTCTAGGAAGGCTACAAGCTCACAGTAAGAACTAAGTAATTCTGATTTTTTCTTATATTGCCAACCGCCATCTCACTTTGTGAAAAATAATGTTCAGAATTTTATGGAAGTAAGAAACCCGAAAAAAAATAAATAACCATCTGTGAAGTGATCGATGCCGGGAAGCCTGTTTCTCTTATATTGCCAACCGCCATCTCACTTTTGGAAGAAAGGTGAAGAGTATTCAAAAAATAATCAATGAGGTACATCAGAAGTATTCACTTACATTTCCAAGCGTTTGCTTAGAGACACGTCATTAATTTTGTTCAATCAAACCGTTTGTGACAGAAAATAGTTCAATTTTGTCAGCAACACTTTCGGACATAAATTAAAGAGGAGGATAAATATTATTCGAACACAAAGCCCGCAACAAGGAAAGGAATGTAAAAATGTGACACGAAACCAATTCTAAACAGTTGACACCCAAATATACTTGTAATG